AAATATTTGATTATTTCTTTCACTGATCAGTAGTAAGCTACTCAATTCCTGAGTCTAAGTAACACAAGAAATCAAGTTGATAGTAACACAGAAGTATATTTTATAGAGTACTTGACTTTTTAGTAGTAATCTCTGTATAGATATCCTTTTTACTAATCATTCACATCTGCCAAACACCAGATGTTATATTGCCCCGCATTCGCAGGTACACTTACAAAATCTTGTCATCTTCCATTTAAATCTTTGTTTTTACCCATAAAAACATGGTGAAGACAGACAGATTTGCATGAATGGTTAAACCCATAATTTTAAGGCAACGGTATTAAAGAAGCATACATATAATTTGATATCCATAATCTTTATTAGTAATGTTGAAGAAAGTGACATAAGGCACCACAGCTAGACTGTATTTTGGGGCAATACACGGTCCCATATTGGAGAAGGCAACATCTGGTTTTGCACCTTAAATAAATTATATCAAAGAATTAAGGCAACAGAATGTTAACTGAAACCCTAGAAATCTGTACAAAACTTTATCAACATATAAGCCCTCAACCTCAATTAAATAATTTACTGGAATAAAAGCAGGGGAAATCAGTATAATTGGAGAGCTATTTTTCAGGTTTTATTCTCACACTTTTTAAAGATGTTAGAAGTTTGGGAAGAAGAGAAGAAAGAATTTAATACACAAGGACCTGGGAACATTTTGATGCACACTGCAATTATCTAGTTTGTTCCATTCATAGCTATTGTACGGTTTAATATGCACCGTTAGCAGTTCACTATACAAGTAACTGTTAACTGAGCTTCAGACATGGAGGACCTCTAAATCTAAATTTTCACACCAGTATATCTTAACTTTGACACTCTGCTCAGGTTTTAGCTAGCAGGCACTGAAATCTCAGGAGTAATTTGCCAGCACCTTGGAAAACTGTTATCCTTCATATTCTGCAATGAAAAGACATATTGTATTCTCATTCCACTTGAAGGCTTTCTTGAAACATTATTTTCCTCGATCCTGAGAAGATGTGTTCCTGAGTCCATCTGAATTAACTGAATATACTTGCAAGAAGCTTGTTATAATTAACATAATTTTTATTATATTGACTAAGTTAACTACTGAAGAAAAAAATCAAACCCAAAAATATGCATTGCAGTGGATTTGCTTAATTAAAGATTTGTTTGCTTTTATTTCAGAGCAGTGAGAATGGTTGGGAATGGAGAAATTCAGTAATCAACTATGCCATACCTAGTAGGTATAATCTCTACTGCAGCTTGTTTTTCTTTTGTGTCTTCAAATTAGCCCCCTCCCACAAGGGAAATTGATTCTAATTTAACAGCACTAAAAGCTTCTTGATGTTCCTATCTGGACATCCTCCAGTCTTTGAGGGAATTATGGCATGTGTATGGCTGTTTTCCAGGTTCTTCCTGCTTTCTAAAACTATGATATCCTAAAAAGAAAAATTTCTATTTCTTGTAAGCTTTTGGAAACAGAGCAGATAATTAACTGTCACTTTCCTTTCATGCTAATTTTGGAATATTACTGCTCTGTATCTGAGCCCACATTTGAATTTGGGACATTTAAACAAAAGAAAATACAAACAACCTTGTAAAAATACGATTAATTTTTATGTGACATACAGGAAAAAGAAGAAACAAAGCTCTTGGTACTTCATCCACTTAGAAAATAAAATATCATTTGGACACTGCATCAGTAATCCTCATGATATTTTCAATTCTTACATTATGAAAAATGAGAAAACATGATCTGTAAATAGCTTAACATTTTTTCAGTAGATTGAACCTGATAAAATAAAAAAAAATCAATAAAATTTTTTACTCAAATTTCCTCTAAAGCCTTTCATGTTCTGTCCAAGGTCATCAAGCTTTTCCATTTTAAACTTGCAAGTCCAGATAAACACTGTTTATTCAATCAAGTACCTGTAAACTTGAGAACACATAAATCTGTACTGAATTTTAACCTTGGGAGAAGAGCTGCTGTGCTTTCTGTTTTCTTTTCTCTGGCCTGGAACTGTAAATATTAAAATATTAAGGTAATGTATGAAATATTGTATCTTCTCCAAGAACTATTATAGTTCTTCTTGAGGAACTACCATACACCTGCTCATATAGAGCATATCAATAAAGAAATGTTGTGGGCTTTGTTTTCATTTTTATTGTTGTTGTTTAGAAGCAGTTTCTTAAGGATGTACAACATAATCTCCAGACCTAAAAGATATAGGGATCTGATGACTAGTTATCACTTAGACACACAAAGCACCTTCAGAATACTTGTTTTGGCCATTACTGGATATAATAAATGTAGCTTCATGAAAGAAAAATAATCAAAATGAGAGTAGAAAGCTCCAGATACTTACCGCCAGAAAGGAAGCATTCTTACAGTACAGATACCAGAATAGGAGATTTCACCAACTTACTCTGGAGACAAAATTTGAATAGCCACAATAGCTGGGCAAAGCCTGTCATAGCTTAAAAGCAAATGGTAGTGCTGTGAGCTAATCAGAGGGGGGAAATATCCATTGTTACCCAGGTGAAAGTTAGTTCTCTTCAGTCTAGATCTGGTAATTCCTAAAGATAAAATATACTTTATTGTCAATTCTTAGACTCCTTAATTTCCTTGAGAAAGCCAGCAGGGATGTGAAAACTGAATAAGTAAAAGGATTTTTTTTCATCTATATCACATTGACCCTACAGCTCCATAAAACTGTAGAGTTGTTTCTTTCTACCATCCAAGAGACTGACTCTACAGCTTCTTCATTTTCTCATTTCCCAGATTTCCTCCATATAATCACTGAATTTCAATTTATTTCCAAATGTTTTCTCTCTTTTTTACCCTCTACTGCTCTCTTCTCTTTTTTTCAAGTGCTTCTTCACTAATTTACCATTAAACTGCACATTACTATATCTGTATAGATAGTAACCCCTTGAACTACTTCTACAATACATATCAATCATAACAAAATAGAGTAAGAAGGACCTCAAAATTCAGCTAAGATGCATGTTAGATCAACATCACAAAAGCATAAACAAAGAACTAATTAGTCTCTGATGGCTGTCAATAACATGAACTACTTGTTATTGTAAACTGAGTAACTAAAATCTTCTCAAGAAATATTAATGCATGTTTGTGAGGCAAATAGGATTTTGTTAACTTCAGTTTAGTTTCTTTTCACAAGTTAGAGGCATAGATTATTTTTCTGTCTTTTTTTTTTTCTCTCTTTTCCCTTTCTGACAGAATATTTCCACTTGCAGTATATGCTTTTTTTTTTTTTTTTTTTCGAAATCTGCTCACAAAACCATTTATATTTTCACACCTTTAGTAGGTTCTGTCAAAATTCATGTGTACCTAAAAACAAATGAAGTACATGTAAGAGCTAAGTATTGTACTGTTCCATTTTTAAATATGGAAGTCATTTAGGACCTTTCTTAGATAACTGCATTTTAAGATTGATTTAATAGTTTTCTTGGCACTAGTTTGACAATACATTACTTTGAGGATTGTTTCCTTGGGGTATTTTCTATATGTATACCACATCTTGTATGTATAGCACAGCCAACGGTGATGCAAGGCTAATTTTTTTAACATGCTAAAAAATAAAGAGGAACAAAGAAAAGAATATATAACATCTTTGTATGCAGGACTGTACAGTTGGTTTTCAGTGATTTTTTTTTTTTTCTTTAAAGTCATTAAAATGCTATGGCTTCACATCAAATACATACACACAACACATCAAATAATTGAAGGTGCTATTTCTCCCATCCTTTTAGTCTCAAACTTTCTCCTTAGCCTGACTGAGGTCAGACACTGACTGAGCATCTTGCTCTGCTTTGTAGAATCTCAGTTTATCCTTGATGCAGGCAATGACTTCCAGCAGGGTTGTGAGTTGCTCCCCATGGTGATCCTTGTCCTCCCACTGCAATGACCAGATCACTTCAAATCACCTGGAAAAATTCCTCCCCACTTACAAAATGCACTGCATCAAAGGAGATGTTCTTTTCTAGGGCTCTGAATTAGAGAACAAATGCATGCGTACAGGAATCATGCTTCCAAACTTGATTGACGCATTCAGAAAGTCATTTTGTTGCCTCCATAAGGAGTCATATCTACACAATCTTACACCAGTAGGTGTTACAGGTACTCGGTTACTCCTGTGGAGGTACAGGTCTTCACCGTAGGACTCTGGTACTGGAGATAACCTCACTGCTTTCTTAAACTCTTTCAAGTCCAATGTTTTTTCACATTTGTACAATCAGTGTGGGGAGCAAGTACTACACTCAGTGGCCTATGGAACCTCAATGCAAGTTTTCAATATTTTCTCCAAATCTTCTTCTTCATCCTTCTAACATCATTATATCCCACCATTACACAGTGTGTTATGAGCTCTGCACAGTGTTTTTGCCTCCTTTGACACAAAGAAGTGTCTCATCATCTCCTCCAGGAGGATAGGAAATAGTGAGAGACCTTCTGGATAAAGAAGATAGGTTTTGAATGTTTTCCGTCTGAGCTTGCACAGACTTCTGATGAAAAGGGCACAAGAACTAGAGCTGCTTGGACAGCAAGAAAGCAGATGGTAACTGCACTCACAGTCCTATGCCAGAGTGGCATCTGTTTGTGGGTGAGAGTTTGCTGATGGAAAATCCATAGAGTGGACAAACTTATCCTGCTGTGACTCTGAATGATACTTAAAGAAATGCTATAGAGTTCTGAATCTGTAAAGCTTCCCCCTGTGCAGCAAATGGTAGTTGAGATGACTGTTCCAACTACAGATACATTTGTATTGACTTTTATGAGATTATGGATGATAAGAAAATTAAAAATCCAAATTTAAAAATCCAAATAAAAACCACATGCTCCAAAATAATAAATAAATAAATAAAAGCATGGATACCAAGTATACAGTTCTAGTCCAATTTCCTGTGAAATGGTGGAAAAGTGCTATTACAAACTTAATCTTCTATCCATGTAAATACATGGTCAGGGATATGTTATATGCCTGAAAGTATTTTTCAGGTAAAGCATAGCTGCAAGCTGTAGGCAGGCGCATCACTACACAAGCATGACAAAGATCAAGGCATGGCAACTTCTTCAAACAGCTGGGAGTGTGGTCTCTACTCTGGTAAACCAGACACAGCAACGGCACTTTTCATGGACTGTCAATAATGTTTCCTATGGGCAGGGAAGAGAGTGCAGTAGTTCAAAGAACATCATCTGAAATTATATTTAGATTGTTAATGAGATTAGTGCAAAATTTGCAAAAGATGCTTATTTCAACATGGTAAAAGGAAACAAGTAATTCAGGGAAAGGCCCTAATTCTTTCCTGTATTGCCCAAGCAGTACAGCATGAACTTCATTTATTATGAAATCAGGACATCTGACTTCAAAACTAAAGCATGACAGTCTGTACTTATACAATTTCTGCTTGTTCAGAAGTTTACTCCTAAACCCCACACATTTTTGACCAGTCCTGCTCTGCCTTGAAAATAATATCACAAGTACATTGTTTTTATGACTTTTTTTTTTTTCCATATATTTTTGATTATTAGCAATGTGTTGACCTTAACAGGACTATAAATAAAGAGTAACTTTAGTTTGTTCTGAAAACTTAGACCTTCTATAATATTCCCAATTGATCTCAAATGTAGCAGTATTTAAACATAAGTATTTATGCACATGCATTCAAATGTGCCCATCTTTATAAAGGTATGGTTTTAAAAGTCTTACAGTATTTTTATATATTTCACATTATTCATGTTAAAAATTGTCAAAACTAAAAAGATCACATTTGCTTTTGAAGGCAAAAAAAAAAAAAAAAGAATCAAAGAAGAAAGTGAATAAAAAAAATTTACAGTAAGGAGTATTAGCTCCAGATATACAAGTTCCTATGTTTAAACTCTAGTAAAGTAGATAAATCCACATCTGTAATGAAACTGATGTAATTAAAAACCTCTAAATACACTAGAGGTCACCTATATAGATAAGCCTTCTATCTGCAATGTGTGTGTGTACCTGTGTGAACATGCTTCTCTCTTTTACACATGTGCCTGGGGGAATTTCCCCTCTCATTTTATTAGGTCTTTCAAGACTTTCATCTTATTGAAAAGTATTATAGCTGCCTTTGTTGTTTGAGCATATAGAAAAGTGAGCCTATTGGTAGAACCATTATATTCTCAGTGGTGCAAATCAATGTTTTCCAGATGGACAACTGAAAGGACTCACCCCTTCTGTTTTAAAAACAGTCTCTGTTGTGCCATATTTTGCTTCTCCCTCAAAGAAAAAAAAAAAAAAAAAAAAAAAAAGCAGTGTTGGTGTGTATAACTGGATTTACTTGTAACATCAAAAACCTGCAATTGTCACTGCCAAAAAAATAAGCTTCAGAGATTTCAGAAGCCAACTCCAGGGCAATCTAGAGAAAAACTCAGGCACCATTTCATATTGGGCAAATGCCAAATCACACATATTGCATGCACACTAATTGATCGTTATGGAAAACCCCTAACTACTGGTGGAAAGAAGCAATGTGACAAACTCAGACACCGTTACAACTCCAAAGAATTCTCTGAAGCAATGACAGCTTTACCAGATGCCTATCTATCCTCATATTTTACAACTTGGCAAAAGAAAAACTGTTTTTTTTCATCGATTTTCAGGAGAAAAAAAACCTCACCAAAAAACCCCAAAGTAAAAATTCCTACTCAATGAAACATTCTCATTTGCAGTGAAAAATTCCTTCTAATAAGACAATGATTTCAGCAAAATCAGCATGTTAATGATTTTTTTCCTAGAATTGAATTCCCATGAATGACACAAATATTTTTACTTCAAATTTCAGGCCAAGTACTTCTGTCCAGGTTTATTCAGCTCAAAATGTTCATTTATTTTAATAGCCTTGTCCTATCCTCCACAGATGACATGCTAAATGACATAGTGTACATTTATAGGCTTTTTTCAGTTGTACTCCTAAAACAAAGAAGTAGGTATCTCTAAACACCAGTAACAGATAAAGTAGTTGACAATCTTATCTGTTAATGCCATATTGAGGGATATCATCTGTGTCCTGTCATAAATGTAAGGACTCCAGAATAGAAATGTAGAACTTTTTACCAGATGATTTCTTGATACTTTCATATTGCAGCACTACTTGTACAGTAGGCCAACTTTTAAACAAGACATATAGAAAGAAGAATCAGCTCTCACAAGGCATGTACTATTTGACCACTGTTACTGCTGTTTCAGACTTCAAAGACATTTAACCTTCAACCCCACCCATACCACTTACCTTTCATGAGACATCTGCGTAACAGATGATCTGTTAAATCACAGCTGCATCTGGAGAGCCACAGACATAAACCATTTGAAAAAAGAGCTTCTGTATAGGTTGTGTATTTGAAATATGACAAGGCCACTGTCCTAATGCCAACAAGGAATCTCTAAGTCTTTCTATGTGAAAATAAGTATTTAAAACTTTAAAGAGAGCAAGAGAGATGGTGCTTTTTCTTCCACTGCATAGCTTCAAAGTAAACCTTTGTAGTCAAATAGTTCAAGAGTGCTATTTAAGCAATTTCTCTCATTTGAACAAAAAGAAATGCTCTAACTCAATCCCCACTTTTGCTAGAAGAATATGATGCTTCATTTTAACTTAATAGAAGAAGTTATTCTCATGGGGTACAGAATTTATGCACATGCTGCCCAAGATACCATTTAAAGACAGAACTCCTGCAATATGTAGCACAGAGTTATTAGTAGGTCTAATATCAATATAAATAGTACTGTAACTACCATAGTGATATTGCTGATTTATTTAGCAGGAGCATCAGCAATTTTTTTACCCTTCTATCATTGTGTTATAGCCTTTTTCCTATTATTCATTTATCTTGGTTCCCACATAAAAAGTGTTACTAGTTCTTTTTGGTCTTCTTCCCAGTTCCAACATCCTGTCTTGATCACTGCTTGGTCCATTGACAGCAGCAATATTTTATACAAAAATGAAATGCTGTCGACTACTTGTTCCAAGTCAGTTGCTTTTCCTTCACACTGATTTCAATTAACTGGGAAGAAAACCCACTCATATGTTATCAGGAAACTCAGATTTTCCTGTTCATTTCAAGTTGACTTGTGAATTCCACCTCTTAGTAGCTTTGTTTATTCTTTAGTTGTCACTGAACATCTCTTTTTTTCATTTTTTTTTTCTTTTTTTTCTTAGAAGCATGCATAGAATGAAAGGAGGAAGAAAAAGCAGCTGAAATTTAACAGGGAAAGAAAATGCTTAGAGTTGCGCCACTCTGGACAACAAGAACCCATTTTATTGATACATGTGATGGGAAGAAAACTATATTGTAAAATTGTTAATATTTTTAAGGATTTTTACTGGGGCAGGGAAAGAGGAGTGAAAAAAAAATGCATTTTTTAATATATTTCATCAAATGTTTGAAATTTGCAGAATGCCTTGCACATACACTCAATTTTTCCAAAGGTTTACTGTCTTGCCAGTGCAACTGTAGGCTCTCCTTGCCCAGATCACTTGCTTACATCACATTTTTTCCATTAACTTCTACAGCTCTAGTGTTATTGGCTGAACTTTACTGCTATTAGAAAGGAGATGGAGAGTGAGGAATTATGACATTAAAAATGCAGTTAGAAAGACTTATCTTCTGTCTCCCATTAAGACCCTCACCTCTTGCTGTGCAACAGTAATGCTGGGAAGCAAGCTTTCCTAGTTCTTCCAGTCGTCTTCTGTGGCTGTAAACAGTACTACCTTCTTCCCTAGGTGTGGACATAGTAGCAGTTGAGTACCTTCTTTCTCTTTTAAAATCTGAGCTGTTAATTTTTTTCTTTTCGTCCTCTTAAAAATCTGTCTTTGTTCAGTCTTATCTCTGCTCAGCAAGTCAGAGGACAGGAGGGAGCATTTTTATTCATCTTGAAGACCTCTTCTATCAAGGTCTTGGCCCCAAAGGTGCACTTTCACGGCCAACCGACTGGAAGTCCTTTGCCTGTACACAGCATTTCCCTGTGTTTTTTTTCTGTAACCTTTCAATTTTTCTGAAAGAGATACAGCATTAATAACAAGATAAACACATAAATAAACGAGCCTAGCAAACATAGGCCCTACAGACATTCTTCTCTTCAGGTTGGAGATATTGGTATACTTGATGAAAATGTTGAGAACAATAGGTAACTTCAGCTCTGTGAAAAAATATTGTTCCCTTCCCCCTTCATTTAAGTAGAAAAACCTTTAGAATCTAATGATATAATCATTGCCAGAAATCTTATAAGGCAGCAGACGGAGGGTCTGGCTGAGACCACAAAGCTGATTACTAAAAAGGAGCACGTACTTTACACACTGATGAAGTGTGTGGTAGACATGTTGTAACACATTTCAGTACAGCATACCTTTTTTTTCAGACATAGTGCTCCTTGGAGCTGCTAGCTTTCCCCACTGATCTCTGTGCTTCCAGTAATTTCAAGAGTTTACCAAGCCCATAGCTTTAATTAATCCTCAAAAAAGGAAGAAAATGCATTCTCTCTTTCTTTGTATTTTACCCCTTCTTTCTCCTTCACTTTCCATACAGCCCTGTGCAGAACACCTGAGAAGAAAGGCTAAACCCAGCCTCCCCACTACCTTTATTCTCACCTGATAATCAGAGGGACTGGTGCCCCAGTTAAGCCTGGCAGAGCTGACACAAGATTCCAAGTAACCGGCCCTGCAGGTGAATTTGCTTCTGCTCTGCTGGTGCCACCCCAACACCCCTCCTGAGGCCAAACACCCAAATGTTGGCCCCAGTTCAGCCCTACAACCATGCTTCTGCCCTTTTTAATAAATATCTTCTTTCCTGTGTAATAACAGGCATCATCATTCAGTTTGACTTTATTCTATAATGCTTTTCTAGGGATTCAGGAGACTAACATTCACCATTACACCACCTCAGCAGAGGCTGGTTTTCCTCCCATTGAAGTCAATAGCAAAATTCTTTTAATAAAAAGAGAAACTGACTGCAGATGAACATTAACCATATCCTTTCAACATTTTTCTCTGCCTAATGAAGTATATTAAAGCTTCTCTGCATAACTTCTGAATAATACTGTATGTGATTTCGTTATTAAAGTTTCACTTAATTTAATTCTGCTTTGAGGTTTCTGGTTAAAAATAAAATATGATTAATGCTTACAAAAGAGAATGAGAAATCTGGGTGTTAAGGATTCTGATAATGGCTACAGTTTCTGGGTAAATTGCTTCAGTAATTTTCATAGTAAAACTCGTTAATGTTACCCTTGCTTATTGCAGTTCCCTACCCTAACAGTCACTGCTCTTCCCTATGATTCTTTTTAAAATTAATTAGTGTGGCATTTGGCTGCTTAATATAACACACTGAAAAAACAGTAGTTTTCCCTGAAGGTCATTAGTGTCTGTATACAGCTGAAAGAACACGAACACCCACTTGTAGGCGTTTATCCTGCCTGCATCAGGAATGAATTCCAGTTTTACAGCAAGGAGAATTATGAGATCTCTGTCTGGCTGTCTGCTAAACCTGAGTTTTCAAGAGAAGAAAGCTCATACAGGCTAAGAGGAAGGACAACTGTGATGTGCCACAGGTCCAGTCTGAACAGATTATCAGGATGCCAGCATTTAATGACACTATTAGTAGATCTATTACCCAATAGTGTTTCTAAGCATCTACAAATACTGTTTTGGATTACGTATTTGGATAGGAGCAGAAAAAAACCTGAGACTGTGTTTCCAAAAAATGAGTTTTATAATTTCTTGATCTTCCTGACCCATGCAGGCTCATGTCCTGGCTTCCCAGTCAATCAGCTGAAGGCTATTAGGGTAATCAAGGATTCACTGGAGAAAGAAATTTGATCAAATGGGGTAAAGAAAGCCAGAAGCTGGAGCTTTTGTAAGCCCTTCATGCCCTGCTTTTCCATGGTATGGATTCAGCTGGAACTTTTTTCACATAAGATGCATATGCTTTCAGAGCCTATCTACCTATTAACATGTGGTAAAATATAGTGATTAAGTACAGTAGATGTAGTATGATAAAAATGGAAAAAATAACTGTTAATCCAAGAGAAGTGCCTTGGCTACATACCAAGCTAACCAGTCCATCTTCTTTATTAATTATTATGGATCTCCTATAATAACAATAATAATTAATAATACCTTTCCCAGTGGTAGTACCTATGTAGGACTTGAATATAATGAGGTGATTTGGAATTCACAAAGAGAGGGGTCACCCTACAATTAAGGATGCAGATAATCACATTTTCCAATGGGTTTTGTTAATTCACATTTGGCCAAGACATTAAAAGCAATTATGGCATTAAGCTCTTACGGGTGTAAAAGAGGATCTTTTTAGATAAATAAATGTGCATGATAATAGATGCTTTTTAAAAATTGAAATTTATTCCACAGATGAGCTCCAATAAAACTACTGAATTCCAAATGCTGGAGAAATTTGAATCTGCCTGCTAAACGAAACTTCACAGATAAATTTTAACTAAGCCTTATTAACTAGAGAGAACCTAATAAATGTGGTCCTTTTCGAAGAATTATGTGGTACTAGCCCCTGACCCAGAAAACAATCACCTTTGAGCATAATAAGTAGTTCTGCTGAAATCAATAAAAATTGCCATAAAAGTAAAATATTAACTTAAGCATGTGTTTCAGATCCTGTGAATAATTTTGACCTTATTTTTTACTTGAAACCTATCTTGAAAATAACAAGCGATAATGATCTAGAGAAGGAGATAAATTACCAAAAAAAAAGGAGTCATCAAATAACTGATATTACTTACTGCAGCTACAGGTTAACAAATCAAATCTAAACTAGTTACTGACCTTAGACAACAGGGAAATTCAGAGTAAGATCTTAATCATGACTAGTGGAACAAAGGGTACAATTGTGCTTTGTTAAATTTCTGGAGCCTTCATTTATAGTCACAAATAACTTGCCATAAAGAAGTCTCCTTTTACAGTCATAAATAAAAAATTAAATATCATTATTTAATGATATAACAGTGATGAGATACCCAAAGTAAAACCTATAAATAAACAAACAGAATATGTATATGACTAAAGATATATTTCCCAGCCTACATTCAACTTCACTTACAAAGACTTGTCATCCTTTCTGTAAATGTGGGCACAAAAAAAGGCAAAACTCTCATATACACTGTATCTATCTCCTGCCCACTCAACATATGCTTTGCTTTTATTTTTCAGTTATATCTTTCAACTGAAGTAGCTATGTTCCCTGAGAAGAAAATTTTTTCTCTAGAATATGAAAATGATAGAAAAGAGAAGATTTGAGGAGAACTTCTACTACTAATCATAAAATTTTTTGGCTGGCATAAGATGATTAATGAACAGAAATGAATTTAATTTGGAAATAATAGGAAAAGGAATATTTTGTTTCTTAAGTATCAAACTAAAATACAATTTTTTATGAAGAAGCCAGTCTTACTTATAATTTGCAATGCTATCACTTTGAGTCTCACCAGTGCAAGACTAGGCTGTCAGTTTAAGTTATTCTACTAAAAATCAAAGTATGCGACACAGACAAAATTCCCAAACGTGTGGAACTATTTGTCAAATAAGTTAACATAAATCATGGGAACACTGCAGCCAGCTACAAGCAGAGTTTCCAAAAAACAGATAAATTCTCCTGAGCAGAGGAGTGTGAAATCAGCTATCTACCACCTCCCTCAGCCTGAACACTATGCTGCAAAGGATTGCAGGATGCAGAAGTACATGCTGCCTGCCCAAGCACTACGGAGAGTTACAAGGAAGTACAAGAGCCATTACCAAGCCTCCCTTTTTTAAGAAATCACACCTCCAGTAAGGAACGGAGATAGTTCTAGAGCCTTCTCTGTTAAACATAACTTCTTTACTCTTTCTCTATAAACAACAATTTTCCATCCAAGTCAGGAAGAAAAGTTACATTCAGTAATCTAACTTTGCTCTAGACATTCTTAATGGATTGTAATAAAAATTCTCACTTCAGTGAGAAGATAATGACACAAACTTGGATCAAGATGTTAAAGTGAAGAATACCATTTAAAGAGTTTCTGATAGAGAACAAGAATTGTTTTCCATTTATAAGGCCCAATACAATGAGAAAAAGAAGGGAGAATAAAACCAAAGTACATGAGTGCATGGTCATCGAGGGTTATTTAAGCTTTAGATATTTAAGTAAGTTTTATTTCAGGCAAGCTTGCTTTTCCCCACCTCATGTTCCCATTTGCATCTGAGATGCATAAGGTATCTTACTTTGTCAAGAGTTCCTCTTATCCAGGTTTTGAGGACTGTATTATAATACACAACAAATTTTAGGGTTTTTCAGTTCTGTGTAAATCGGGTTTGAACTACTGCAGTGAAATAAATAAGAAGTTCTTCATTATTCTACTAATCCAGTAACTCCATTTTGGAAAAATCTAAATGCCCAGCCAATAGTCTGATTTGTATTTCAGGCTGGAAGCTTGTCAAAACTCTGACATAAACTTGTGGCTTTTTATGAGTAATAAAAGGGACATAATCATATGAAACTTTGGCTCTTGCAATCTGTGTCATTTCAGCATGGAATATCTTTACAATCATGATCCTAATACTTTCTACAAGCACTATGGGCCATCTGAGTATTAAACAACAGTCTAAAATATAAACTGCATAGATTAGTTAAGTAATAATGATGTATTTTAGCTCCCTTTCTGTGCTAGAGTTAGAAACCTTGGGTGTAGACAGAAATTCATAAAAGCCTTCAGAACAAATCCCAATTTACTGCCCACTTTCCATAATCCATAGGAAGCATTACTATAGGCTATAAAAGCAAATCTAGACTAATAGTTGTGAGGTAAAGAACTGAGAAAGAGCTGGCCCTTTGACACAGAAGGTGCTTCTTGGTTTTAACATCAGCCAGTGATAAAACAGACTTTACTGAAGCAATCTGAAGACTTCAACAAGAAGGACAAAGTATAAAAAGGGATTTACTGTATATGGTGGATTTGATCAAGTCCTGAATGAAGAGAAAATATTAGTT